AATCTTAACATTATGCTAAATAAAATAATTGAAATACAGAAGGACTAATGTATGATTCCACTTATGTAAGTACCTAGAATAGGCAACCTCCTAGATATAGAAAGTGAATTTGAAGTTATTGGGGGGGGGGGGGGCGCGGGTGCGGGGGGGAGGAAGAATGGCAAGTCACTGCTTTTAGTTTGGGGTGATGAAAATTTTTGGAAATACAATGGTGATGATTGCACAATATTGTGGATGCCATTATTGCCACTGAATATACATTTTAATATGGTTTAAATGACTCTAGCCAGTTTGTTCAGTGGATAGAGCATTGGCCCACCAACTGAAAGGTTGAGGATTAAATTTGTGGTCAGGGACACATGTGGGAGGCAATCAATGTGTCTCTCTCACATCAATGTTTCTGTCTCTTCCACTCTTATCTAAAAATCAATGTAAAAATGTCCTCAGGTGAGAATTAACAAAACAAAAATAAAATGTTTAAATGGCAAATTTTGTATATACCCATATTTCAAATTAGTAACGTAATATACCAATAAATGCTAGATGGTACCCTTTACGTGGGCTAAATATATGGTATGGGAATTATATCTGATGAAGCTATTTTTTTCTTTATTGATTAAGGTATTACAAATGTGTCCTTATTCCCCCATTGTCCCCTTACCCTATCCCCAATCCTGCCCTCGCCATCACTCCCTGTTGTCTATGTCCATTGCTTATGCTTATATGCATGCATACAAGTCCTTTGGTTGATCTCTCCCTCTTACCCTCACCCTCCCCTACCTTCCTTCTGAGATTTGAGCATCTGATCGATGCTTCTCTGTCTCTGGATCTGTTTTTGTTCATCGGTTTATGTTGCTCATTATAATCCACAAATAATGAAGCTACTTTTAAAAAACTTTTTATTGATTTCAGAGAGAAAGTGAGAGGAAGAGATAGAAGCATAAATGATGAGAGAGACTTATTGATTGGCTGCCTCCTGCACACCCCACACTGGGGATCAAGCCTCCATCCCAGGCATGCTGCCTAATGGGAACCATGACCTCCTGGTTCATAGGTCAATGCTCAACCACTGAGTCAAGCCGTTTAAGCTTAATGAAGCTTTTTTTTTTTTTCAAAAAAAATTGTATAATATATTAATAGAAAAGGTTAACCAATGGGTAATAGGTTGAGAAAAAGTATTTGGAAATGTCAAAAGCCAAACAAGTGAAACACAATATCCTCCCCTCCACCACCAGCCATTTTTTAAAAATAAATCTTTATTGTTCATATTATTACAAATGTTCCTCATTTCCCCCCCTCCATTGCTCCCCTACCAGTCATTTTTTAAAATATATTTTATGGTACCCTTTTTCTCCTGAAATGAAATTCAGTTTTACACATATTTTTAAATTTATCTTTATCGTTGAAAGTATTACATATGTTCCCTTTTTCTCCCCATTGACCCCCACCACCCCACTCCCACTCCCTCCCCACTACATTATTGTCTGTGTCCATGGGTAATGCATATATGCATATAAGTTATTTACTTAATCTTCCTGCCCACTCCCCCGACCCCCTTTCCTCTGAGATTCTTCAGTCTGTTGCACATTTCCATGTCTCTGGATCTACTTTGTTCACCAGTTTATTTTGTTGGGAATGCAGACTGGTGCAACCATGATGGAAAACAGTTTGGAATTTCCTCAAAAAAATTAAAAATGGACCCAGCCAGCATGGCTCAGTGGTTGAGCATCAACCTATGAACCAGGAGGTCATGGTTCAGTTCCTGGTCAGTGGTTCAATGCCCAGTTTGCAGGCTTCATTCCAAGAGTGAGACCTGCAGGAGGCAGCCAATTAATTATTTTCTCTCATCATGGATGTTTCTATCTATATCTCCCTCTACTTTCCTTTCTGAAATCAATAAAAATATATATATTTTTTAAATGGAACTGCCATTTGACCCAGTGATCCCACTTCTAGAAATATATCCTAAGAATCCCAAAACACCCATTAGAAAGAATATATGCACCTCTATATTTATAACAGTGCCATTTACAATAGCTAAGATCTGGAAACAGCCCAAGTGTCCATCAGTAGATGAGAGGATTAAAAAGCTGTGGTACATTTACACAATGGAATACCATGCAGCTGTAAAAAAAAAAAAAAAAAAAAAAAAAGATCTCATCCTTTGAGACAGCATGGAGGGACCTGGAGAGTATTATGCTAAATGAAATAAGTCAGAGAAAGGTAGGAATCACATGATCTCACTCATATGTGGAATCTAGTGAACAAAATAAACTATACATATTTTTATAATAAATCTTTATTCAGATTATTACAGGTGTTCCTCTTTCCCCCCTCTTCCCCCATAGCTCCCCTCCACCTGATTCCCAACTCCACCCCATGCTCCCCTGAGAGCAGTTGTGGGCTATCAGGCCAGCAGGGGAGGGCAGTTGGGGATGACCAGGCTGGCAAGGGAGGGCAGTTAGGCATCTGTCAGGCTGGCAGGAGAGTGGTTGGCACGATCAGGCTGGCAGGCAGAAGTGGTTAGGGGAAATCAGGCAGGCAGGCAGACTATTGGTTGGGAGCCAGCAGTCCTGGATTGTGAGAGGAATGTCCGAATGCCCGGTGGGATTGGGTCTATACCGGCAGTTGGACGTCCCTTGAGGGGTCCCAAATTAGAGAGGGTGTAGGCTGGGCTGAAGGACACGCCCCCCCCCAGGCCTCTTAAAAAATCATATATATATATATATATATATATATATATATATATATATATATATATATATATATGCACTATACTAAAAAATCCAACAAAAAATCCCTACATATTTCTAAAATCCTCACTAAAATCAGTACCATCTAGGATATACATAACAAAATTAAAATAACTCAATAAAAAGCAGTTAATATAGATTTTTTAAACATATTTTATTGATTTTTTACAGAGAGGAAGGGAGAGGGATAGAGAGCTAGAAACATCGATGAGAGAGAAACATCGACCAGCTGCTTCCTACACACCCCCTACTCGGGATGTGACCTCAACCAGTGTACATGCCCTTGACCAGAATCGAACCTGGGACCTTTCAGTCCGCAGGCCGAAGCTCTATCCACTGAACCAAACCGGTTTCGGCTAATATAGATTTTTATAATTCACCAAGGAAATGTGAAGTAGTGAGCAGGAAATGGCTCTAAGTGGCTAAGGAAAAACATTTGCTCACTAGTAACCAGAGAAATGCAATTAAAACAAGATACCAATTTATGTGAATCAGATTGGCAAATATAAATCTGTTAATACCAAATGTTCAAGAAAGATGGGATCCCACATGCACTGCTGGTTACCAAACAGTCTGGCCTTCTTTAGTGAAATTAAGTCCATGTTCACTCTGTGACTCAGAAATCTTGCTCTGGGATATATGTCCCAGAGAAACAAGCATAAATCTACATGAGGACATGTACAAAGATGTTCCCAATATTGATTATTATAAATGTATACTGCAAATTCTAGGGCACCACTACAAAAATTAATAGATTTCGTATACTTGCAAAGGCTTCCTATAACTATCAAATATGAACCCTTCCTGTGGTCTCAAGATCCGCAACTGTCTCTGACTTCCCAACCTCATTTCCTGTCCTTCTCCTTGCTCAGCCACCATGGCTATCTTGCTTTTCTTGGACCCACCCCTTCCCCCCACCCCCACCCCCAACATGCACACACAAGCTGTTTGCTCTTGCCATTCGCTTGGCTTTTAATGTTGTGACCATGGGTCTTCCATAGGACTCACTCTTCCATGTAATCTGGCTCTCTGTTCAGTTCCCTTTATTAAAGAGACTATCACAAACTAATCCCATCCTCTTGTGATTAATCACTCTCCATCCTCTTTCTCTATTTTGTTATTCTTCATAGAACTCTATCATTCCCTAAAAGTATAAATATATTGATAAGCTTTATTAAAGAATTTAAAAGAAGACCAAAATAAGTAGAACAAAATGTCATTTTGTCAATTCTCTCCAAATTAGACATTAACTATTCAATATTCCAAATAAAAATTCTAGCAAGAATTAACTAGGGAATGTGGAAAATCAATTAAAAAATATATATATATATATATTAGATCAACTCACAATTAACAGAAACAATTTAGAGTGGGCGGCAGATAACACAAACTATTGTATTAAGACAGTTACAAAGTTTTCCCTTAAGAACAGGAACAAGTCAAAACCGGTTTGGATCAGTGGATAGAATGTCAGCCTGCGAACTGAAAGGTCCCAGGTTCGATTCCGGTCAAGGGCATGTACTTTGGTTGCGGGCACATCCCCAGTAAGGGGTGTGCAAGAGGCAGCTGATCAATGTTCCTAACACTCTATCCCTCTCTCTTCCTCTCTGTAAAAAATCAATAAAATATATTAAAAAAAAACAAACAAAAAAAAACAGGAACAAGCTCTGGCCGGTGTTCTCAGTGGTTAGAGCATGGCCCATGCACCAAAGGGTCTTGAGTTCAATTACCAGTCAATGGTATGTACCTGGGTTGCAGTTTCAATCCTACCTTGTTTAGGGCACATGCAGGAGGCAATGATCAATGTGTCTCTCTCACATTAATTTTTATCCTCTCTCTCTTTTCTCTCCACTCTCTAAAAATCAATGGAGTCCAAGCTGGTTTGGCTCAGTGGATAGAGCATCAGCCTGTGGACTAAAAGTTCTCTGGTTCGATTCCGGTCAAGGGCATATGCCCAGGTTGCAGGCTCTATCCCCAGTGGTGGGGTGTGCAGGAGGTAGCCGGTCAATGATTATCTCTCATTATAGATGTTTCTCTCTCTCTCTCTCCCCCTCTCCCTCTTCTCTTAAATAAATAAAAGTATATTTCTAAATAAATAAATATCAATGGAAAACATCTTCAGGATTAAGAGAGAGAGAGAGAGAGAGAGAGAGAGAGGAAGAGGAAGAGGAAGAGGAAGAGGAAGAGAGGAAGAAGACGACGACCCTGAAGAACACCTAAGATTATTTTGAAAAATATGGGAAAGTTACCCCCTGGCAATGGGCAAGGAGACACCTGATTGGTGGTGTTGCTCTTATATCAATCAGGGGCAAAGCAGACATACAGTCCTTAGTTCATCCTAGCTTGATGCCTGTGTCAGTGGCCAGAGCTATTTCATGCGAAAGAAAAGAAAAGAAAAGAAAGAAAGAAAGAAAGAAAGAAAGAAAGAAAGAAAGAAAGAAAGAAAGAAAGAAAGAAAGAAGAGAGGGAGGGAGGGATAGAAGAAAGGAAAAGAAAGAGGAGATAAGAGCTCGAGAGATAGAGCGCTAGCGGAGAGGAAAAATGAAGTAGATTAACGAAACATTCAGTAAAAGGAACTTACGGAAGGAAGTTCGAATTCGGACCAGCCCTCCATCACGAATAAGCACGACACGCCAGAACGCAGCAACTCACTCCCCCTCCAGCAGCACCCCTACCTCCCTCTCCCTCTCTCTTCCTTCCTTCTCTCGTCTGCTCCTTCCGTCCTTCCGTCTTCGTGCCTCCTTCCTGATTCCTACCTCCTTCCTTCCCTCACCTTCTTTCCCCTTTTCCTTCTTTTCCTTCCTTCCTTCACCAAGGCAGTGACAGGGAAAGGCTTTGCTTTTGTAGCCTTTGATGATTCAGTAGACATGGTTATCATTCAAAAATATTGTACTGTGAATGACCACAAGTGTGGAGTAAGGAAAGCCCTATCTAAGCAAGAGATGGCTAGTGCTTCATTCAGCCAAAGAGGTTGAAGTGGTTCTGGAAATTTCAGAGGTGGTCATGGAGGTCGCTTTGACAACTTTGGTCAAGTAGAAAACTTCATTGTGGAGGTGGCTTTGGTGGTGGTGAATATGGTGGCAGTGGAGATGGCAATAATGGATTTGGCATTGATGGAAGCAATTTTGGAGGCAGAAAATACAATGATTTTGGCAATTACAATAATAAATCCTCAAATTTTGGACCCAGAAAAGGAAGAAATTTTGGAAGTAGAAGATCTGACATCTATGGTGGTGGAGACCAATATTTTGCCAAACCACAAAAAGTGGCTGTAGCAATTCCAGCAGCAGCAGTTGCTAAGGCAGTGGCAAGAAGTTGTAATTACTGCCAGGAAACAAAGCTTAGCAGGAGTGAAGTGTCAGAGAAGTGACAGGGAAGCTACTGGTTACAACAGATTTGTGAACTCAGCCAAGCACAGTGGTGACAGAACCTCACTGCTACAAAAGAAGACAAGTTTTAGACAATACTCATGAATGGACAAAAAGTTCAAAGATTATATTTATGACTAGTTGTGTAAGAGGTTATTTAGTTTCTGTTGTGTGGAAAGTGTAAAGCATTCTAACAAAGCGTTTTTAGATAGATTTCTTTTTCACCCATGATGTTGATTGCTAAACTTAATAGTCTGATTATGACACTGAATAAATGTCTTTAAAAAACAAACAAACCACAGATTGATCCCTATTAAAAGTTGGACACATAAGATTCCCAAAGTTTGTTGCTATCAAACTCTCCAATCATATAGTTAGTGACCCTTGTTCTGATTTTCTGCTCACCAAGCAATCTTCTGATAATCTAGTTCCATATCATCTCCTCACAGGTAAAGAATACTGTGTTCGGACCTACCTTTCTTGACCATGCTGTGACCTTGACATGGGCCTTCCCATGTGTATTTATTAGGACTCTTGGACACGAGCAATAGAAAGCCATTCTGAAGTAGGTTACACAAAAGAAGAATTTATTGGAAGGATACATGGGTGTATATCCTGGAGGTTCAGAGGAGCAGCTGGGACTTAGGAAAACTCCAACCAAAAATTGAAAAACACCAAAACACTCACCACTTTTTTCTGTGCATCTGTCTGTGCATCAGTTTTATTCCCTTTTACTGCACCTGCACCCAGGAAGGATCAACTCTGCTCTCTCTGAAATCCAAATGCTCCTGGGAAAGGTGCTGCTTGGCTGGCCATCTGGATCAGATTCTAATTAACTGTGGCCAGAGGGGGTGGTCATGGCAGTTTCCATGGCCCCGCATGGTTGGAGTGTTGCAGAGAAGGAGCCTTTTCTATAATAAAAGAGGAAGGTCACAGAAGAATGTGCAGGCACTGGGCAGTCACACAGAAAAGCCATCCTCCCATCATTGAACTGGTCCTATAGGCTAGGACCAGTTAAGGGATCTTTGAGGTTGGTCATGTAGAGCAAGCTATCACTCAACAACAGAGAATAAGGATGAAAATGATAACAAGTTTCAGGAGAACTTTCAAGAAGTTGGCTGCCTGAACCAAAAAAGAATACTGCGGAGCAAGTTGCTTCAAGGATTGTATATATGAAACCATTTTTCACCAACACATGTAATAAATTAACAACTATTTAAAAGACTTTAACTTTATTTGTATATTTATTTTTCCTCCTCTTCCTAGGGCATTTTTAGACTTTTTTTTTTTAAAGATATATCATTTTTTAAAAATATATTTTATTGATTTTTCACAGAGAGCAAGGGAGAGGGATAGAGAGCTAGAAACATCAATGAGAGAGAAACATTGACTAGCTGCCTCCTGCACACCCCCTACCGGGGATGTGCCTACAACCAATGTACATGGCCTTGACTGGAATCAAACCTGGGACCCTTCAGTCCACAGACGGATGCTCTATCCACTGAGCCAAACTGGTTTTGGCATGTTTTAGACTTTTATTTGTGGCTAGGAGATAAGCTAGTGAGAGCATTTGGGCAAGCAGAGATTGTAAATGAGTCTAAGTTCACACTGTTTGCCCCATGACAGCCAAAACTTAAGTGAAAAAAACAAAGAACTTTATAAGCCTAGAAGATGGCAGACTAGCATCCTAAAGAACCATGTTACAAAAGTACACAATTCAGGCTTGATTTAAGAATCAAAGGAGAAGGGAAGCCAAGATGGCGGCATAGGTGAACACCTATACTGCTGCCTCGCACAACAATTTCAAAACTACAACTAAAAGACAAAGCAGACATCATCCAGAACCACTGGAAAGTCGGCTGAGTGGAAATTCAAAAACTAGAAAGAGAAGGGAAAAAAAGGACACTGAGACACAGGAGTGGTGGAAGGCAGAGGTGCAGAGACACTGAGATGTGCGCACATGAGAGGAAGAGCTGGGCAGCAGAATTTGTGGCTGGCTTTCTCAAACCGGAGTGAAACAAAGGCTCCCCATAGCGCTGAAATCCAGTCCTGGTGAGACTCGGGGAACCCAGACACATACAGGGAGGAAGTGGACCATCTGGCAGCGGGCAGGGCTTGCAAGCAGCTTTCTTTCAGAGGATTATGCAGCTATAGCCACAGGGCACTGAGACCCAGGGGAATGGCGGAAGACAGAAGTGTGGAGATGCAGAGACGTGTGACGTGTGTGCGAGAGAGAAAAGGCTGGGTGGCTGGATACACTGCTTCCTTGATCGTTCCAGAGGGAAACAGGGCCTCCTGACTGCACCATACTCTAGTTATGGATGAAACTTTGGGTACCCACACTCATTCAGGGAGAAACTGGATTGTCTGGCAGCGGGCAAAGTTCGAGAGTAGCTTTCTCTCTAAGGTGCGTGCAGCCATTGCCATGGGACACTGAGACCCAAGCCTCTTAGTGTGGGACTGACAGAAACCATGGCTGCCTGCTCTGCCCTGAGACCTCACCCCATCCAAACTAAGCCCAGAAGCTTTCACAGTGTAGACACAGCTGATTCTCACAGCCAATTAGCCTGGAGGTCAACTCCCCCCAGTGATACCAACAACAATCAAGGCTTAACTACAACAAGACTGTGCACACAACCCATAAAGGGTTTCACCAAGGGTGTCCACCTCAGGTAGCTGGGGAGGCTGAGCCACTGGGTCCAAAGGACACCTAGCATACAAAGCCACTCCATCAACTCAGGGAAGCAGCTAAAATGCAGAGACAAAGAGGCAGATCACAAATGAAAGAAATGGAAGAAAGCAGAAGACTGGACATAGAGTTCAAAACCACATTCATAAGGTAACTCAAGAATCTGCTAAAAACCTCTGAGGAACTTAGTGAGATCTTTAAAGATCTTAATGAGAATGCAAAAAAAAAAAAAAAAAAAAAAAAGGAAAAGGACCAGTCAGAAATTAAGCATACACTGTCTGAAATGAAGAATATACAGAAATTCAACAGTGGATCAAAGGACCCCAAAAATCAAACTGAAGATTTGAAACATGAGGAAACAAAAAACACCCAACCAGAAAAACAAAAAGAAAAAAAAGAATCCAAAAATATAAAGTTACAAGGAGCCTATGGGACAACTTTAAGTGTACCAACATCCGAATTTTTGGGGTGCCAGAAGAAAAGAGAAAGCAAAAAATTGAAAACCTATTAGAAGAAATAATGACCAAAAACTTTTCCTACCTGGTGAAAGAAATAGACTTACAAGTCCAGGAAACATACAGAGCCCCAAACAAAAGTAACCCAAAGAGGTCCCGAGAAACCAAGATAGCGGCATAGATAGCATCTGGTCTGCCGCTCCCACAACAACTTTAAAAATTAAAACTAATATAAAGGACTTCTATCATCCAAAACCACAGGAAGGCTGGCTGGACGAGAGGGGAGCGCAAGCGCTGAAAAGCTGAGGAGCCTAGGTACGGAGGCACGTGAACCGGGCTGGTGGCAAATCGGGCTGGTGATAGCAACTGGGCGCGGCTTTTCTTTTCACCCCAAAAGGAAACAAGCTCCCTATCACTTTGAAATCCAGTCTCTGGTGTCACGTGGGGGACCCAGACGCCAATGGGGAGAAGCTGGTCTGTCGGCCATTGGTCCGAAGTGAGGGTGACTCTTGCAGAGGTGCGCGAAACAATCATTGTTTACTGCGCTGGATTGCAAGGAAGTGGGACTTGGAAACACAGAAGGGCAGGAATGGCAAACATCGCTGTTAGCCCAGGCCCCAACCTAGTGACATCCTGAGACCCCGCCCACCCTGAGGCCCCGCCCAACCCTGAGACCCTGCCCTGAGGCCCTGCCTGCAAATTCTATAGACCCGCCCAGGCAACACACAGCTGCTTTTACATGTGAATGGCCTGTATTGAGACAGCTTAACCATATATAAACTGCAGCTCCAGCAACCCCCTCCACCAAGTCCCAAGCAAACAGGAAAAAACTAGTTCTCGCTGTAGCTCTTGCAGGGCGGCTT